GTTACTATCTATATATACATATAGTTTCATTCATGATTATCCGTTTGGAAATTATTCGATTTAAACAGAAAACACAAAATATTAAGAAAGCTAATGTGACCATTAGGATAAGATTGGTAATAATGCTTGCAGTAAAATGGTCCTTTATTTCGAAATTTTTAAATATTCACTTTCGGAACGCAGTTTCAAAGTCATAAACTACCTGTCAGAAAATGTAAAAAGAATTCAGGTTTTTACAGTTCCATATGTAAATAGTAACCCCCTAATGTGGACGAAAAGTGTTCCAGTTCAAATTTTATTTCTATCGCTGCCCTAAATTACGATTTCATTTGCTGTTCTAGTAAAAAGAAATTAATTACAGTACGATGAGAAATATGAACGAAAAGACTAATATGGTCTAATACTGTTAACGTAATACTTTTGTATAATACAATATTTGTAATCAATGTACGAAAAATGATCATATTGTGCCGGCAGGCTTAAGTGTGTATGCGTGTATATGAGCGTTGACGTACCGCGACCGGGCAGGCAAAAACGCTAACCCAAATATGCCGAATTTAGGAAGCAATTAAGAACCGGCTCGGTGTATTTACCGGCTGATCGGCACGTGCCGGCAGGCTTAAGTGCGTGTGTCTATGTGAGCATTAGCTCCGAGAATATTCCAACGTAACGCGACCGGGCAGGCAAAAACCCTAGCCCGGTCGTACCGAATTTAGAAAAAATGTCTGGAACGTTCGGACTGTGCGAGGATAAAAGCACGTGCCCGCGACCACGCGAGGGCAGTCGGAAATTAGTCTGGAAAGAGTCGGTCAGTCTGTCAGTTTGGAGTGAGTCTGGAAGAAGTCTGCAAGAATCTACGATACGATACGATACGCTAACATACGATCAGATACGATAAGGCCTGTGTAGGCGCTACGAACTAGTCTTACTCGTCGTGTTATCTCTGTAACCAGCGGAATAGACACTTTAACCTTTTAGATACGGTACGCCACTATAGTGGCTTCCGCGGATGGCATCAATTGGAACGGTACGCCACTATAGTGGCGTTCCGCCGAGACCCTCTATTTTTACGGAACGCCACTATAGTGGCTTTCGTGGATAGCACCAATTTGGACGGTACGACACTATAGTGACTTTCCTGGATATCATGATTTTCGACGGTATTATACGTTTTTTGCTTTATTTCGCATCCTGGCAATATCGATGCTGTCGTTGAAGAGTACACGTGTCAGAGTACACGAGTACACGTGTCGTTGAAGAGTACACATGAACGATTTTTGTGCCATCCGCGGCCAGACGCGCCGTCCCAGGGGTACCCACTTGCGGACGAGCGCGCCGTACCTAAAAGATTAATAAAACCCTATTCCTACATATTTAGTGAACGCGGGGCGAAATAGGACGCTCAATATAGAATTTCATTTTGTTGTATATTACAATGAAGCAAAACAAAATTAGTTGGAAGAATAAGTACACAAGCATACCTACACTTACTTTCACAGTTGCTTTTCATCAGCATTGATTGTAATTATTTAAATGACAGTTATTTTCAATTCTTTATTCATTTCCTCTGTAACAGGTTTGCTTCAATTTAATGTATACTGTATACAGAGCGGGACAGAAACTTTGTCCGCTTGGAGTAATTCTATTATTTGCAACAATACTTTTACGCGAACGGAAGCGTAAGGGTGATTTCAAGATCATCTCTGCTTTTTTAAATTGGATGTAATATTTCTTTCGTCGCTGTGTTATAGCCGCTGTTGTGGCAATTTCAGCATCCTATCGTTAAAGGTCATTCAAGGTCAAATGTGTTGGTAAAATAAACTTTCTTACGTTACAGAAGATGTTCGAAGTGTTGACTATTTGTGTCGACGCAAAGTTGCAATCTTTGTATCGCTGAATCACATGCATGTTCTATCGCCACTGAAATTATTCTAGCGGTATTTTTCATAGATAACATTTTTGATCGCATTTAAGTACATTTTGGTCAGTTTCCCCGTAAATCATGATCCTACTATTTAGATTCCACGCAATGTCGTAAATTGCAACAATGTTTGGAACGTAAATATTGTGATAAGACTGTCTGTTTACGTAAAAGTAGGAGTCAATGAATTACAGCATTTGCTAGAAAAGTTCCAGCGACGATAAGACGTATCCGCGGTTCCACAATTCGAAAGTAAGGATAATTGTTTTACGATCTTCAGTGACCTTGTATGACCTTTAATAATAACATGCTAAAATCGCAACAACAGCGGCTGTCACACAGCGAGAAAAAAAAGTATAACATCTCATTTAAAAAAATATATAGGTGACCTTGAAATCTCCCCTATGCCTCCATCCACGTAAAAAATATTTTCATTAAGTTACGTCTTCCTTCATATCATGCAAGTTTTGTATACATTTTTCTATATTATTGCAAATAACGGAATTATTCCAGATGGACAAAGTTTTTGTCCTACTAGCATTAAATTTGATTAAAATCATTTTTACGTTAGATAATGAGAAAAGTAAGTTTTTAATTTATTCTGTCCTTTAAATACAGATAAATAGTAATAATCTTGTCCTGATAATATATACGAAAAGTTATAAATTTGATTTATATTTGGTTCTAACCCTTAATTCTACACTGATTTGCAAAATAAAAATTAATAAAATCTGAACGACTTCGAATTGTCAATTAGTTAATTTAAATACTACTTTATAATTAAAATGTATTTTGTTATCGTACTTGTTCGATTATGCTAAATTATTTATACAGGTTCGTTCATTACATTTAATTATCTATTGTTTTCACGAATAATTTTAATTTTGATATCAATTAATATTTATTAAATCAATATCTGCATAATATTTATTACAAGATTGTGAATTATTTTATTATTCCATAATTAATATAAAATGTCATTAATATTCATGTAAATTATTATTTCGACAAACTATTACCTGTTATTCATATAAATAGATGGACAGAATTTTATCGGTTTATCAAACAAATAATTTCAAGTGATACCGTATTTTTATTCTTCATTATGTATGAATAAAATATGAGTTCTGAAAGCTGTGAAAATTTTGATATACATACGCGTGTAACGAAGAAAATTTATTCGAGATGTAACAGATCGGGCTTACAAAACACAAGTATGCATTTCATTCAAATTTTCCTAAATGCTATTAAACAAATGCAGATTTCACCTTGCTCGCAAATTAAATTATATCTAGTGAAATAATTTATTTATCTACTTGTATTATCATTAAATTGAAATCGTTCGTCGATAAATGCAATTGTTGTATCTTCTTTAATTTTGAAAATAATAAAAACATTACTGACGTTGGATTATTAGTTTCACAGCAGGCCGACGGCGTATACGGGTCATTGACAGTTCGAGGACTACAGGATGATCCTACCTTGGAAAGGATACTTCTCTTATCATCAAGGTCACCAACTCCGCTGTCGCGATATTTGCATCTGCATCCACCTACGCCCAGTGAACTCCTCTTAAATGGCCAGGTACTGTTTGAAATAATTGTGTACGTAAATAGGACGCTAGGAAGTACGGAAGCACGATTCAACCTGCGAAACAAAACTGTTGTTTTAGTCAAAAAATTTGAGTATAAGAAGTGCCAAGATCAGACAACCTTTCACAAGAATTTTATATGCGTGAGATAGTAGAAAATAGCTTGAACAAAATTAAGATCTGAAATTACATTCGCCAAAGACGAGTTTTACTTTTTTCTATGAAAAATATGAAGAGCTGTCGAAACACGAGATAGGTAATTGAATTAGTAATAACAATACCTACTACGTGTATACGTATAAGATTTCTGAATCGCACTAATTAGTTGTAAGAATATTAATTTCATTATCTGTTCTTCAATGAAAGAATTTCTATTATAATTTTCATTTTAACTATTAAAATCAAGTTACACTGTTCTGCAAAACAAAAAGTTTGTTTTGTCTTCCGTTAAAAATTCTAAGTGTGTTTTATTGATTTAATGTTAAATCAAAATCTGTTAACGAATTTACTTCATCATATCAGGTTTTCGAAATTTTTACGAACAGAGAATGTTTACGAAAGGTGGACTATAAAAAAAAAAAAAAAAAAGAAAGAAAGAAAGAACAAATGAAGAACTTCAGAAAAGACTGTACGCCGTTCTAGTTCTATTCACGCAATCTTGTATAACGCAAATTCTGCCAATGAAAAACTTTCTCTTGGCTCGGCAGATTATGCGAATGCAAGATTAAGTTTCACAAAAACAATATACGCGTATAGGACATTAAAATAGATCTTTTCTTCCAGAAGAGTGGAACCATTTTGAAAGTCGATCATGGAGCACGATACTTGTTACGACTTGTCAATGCCAACGCGTACAATTGTCCCGTGGTGTTATCCATTTCTGACCACGAATTTCGAGTATTGGCCGTCGACGGTAACAAGATTCAACCAACGACGGGTAGACACATTGTTTCCTTTCCAGGTACGAATTTGACTTTCTTTTTTGCTTATTCTCGATGTGTCCTGTACATTCGGCGCATGTAAAATGTGATCGTTGCACGTGCAAGTCGAATACAGGCGTTTCTGCGTAAAGTGCTTCATCCGACATTTTATACGTCGACCTTGTCTCCCACTTTTGTTTTCTTCTTTAATACACGCAATTGCACACCGAGTTTGAGCGAGAGCGTGTATAGAGGTAAGCGAGGAAGAATTGCGGTCGTTGGAGATGGAGCGAAACGTAACAAAATGAAATTGAATAACGTAGAATACAGGTTACGTGAAATTTTATTCGATTTTAAGAGATTCTGTTAAGGGGTAGGTCAAGAGATTCTGTTTAGGAGTAGTGAAAAATATTAAAGAGAGGAAGAGTAACGAATAAAACGAATTGCATTTTTATAAATCGTTTAGAGATGCACATCAACCGCTGCTCATCGTTTTATCCTTTAATTCATTCATTATCGAAAAAACTTCTTTCGATAATATTTCGTTAAATCGATGCAGTACACTTTATTTTCAAATTTCAGGTTATTAACCTCGTAACAGAGAATTATTTAAAAAACTTTTCAGAAGGCATTTTTCAACACTTTTCAGTGTAAATCGCGGCGATTGAACAATGTGTTATTTTTTAAGGCGATAGATAGATTCTAGTGGTTAGTTCAGTATTACTCTAATTGTTCAGCGTAAATTGAAGAATGTACATGCATGATCATGCATATACAGAGCGTGGTTCCGGCTGGAGTAAGACAACCCGGTGAAACAATAGCGGCGTAGAGATAATCGCAATTTAAAAAAAAAACAAAGGCAGTTGCAAGCTGCGTGTAGGTGTTGACAACATACGAAAGGCAAAAAAGGTGGGCCATGATAGAAGGTGAGAACCAAGGAATGCGAGGTACGAAAACGAATACAATACGCTCAATGGAGCAATAAAGAGACGGTGGCAGAATAAATAATTGTATAGGAACAAAGGCAATCAAGGTGAAAAAAATTGACTATCGTAATTAATCTAGCAGAACGAGAAGCGTGAGAGTGAAAGAAGAAGTAAAGAAGCGTGTGAAAGAAAAGCATTGGAGCAAGCGACGGAGCATTAAAACGGCAGAGGAAAACGAGAAACGATAAAACGATGTACGACACCACGCCGTTTGGTAAACAAAGAGAAAGAGGAGGAATGCACGAGAATGAGGCTGAACAGACGAAATGAGAAAGGGAATGGGAAAAGATTGGCAGCCGGGGAAGGTAGTGGAGGTGGGGAGAGAAAGAGAAGAAAGGATAGAACGGTGCGCTTGGCGTTGATGCGTTTAGCCGTGGCCGAGTCGTTCGCGCAGACTCGGCTGTCTTCGTGTTCTCGCCGAGTTTCCAACAAAGGGAAATAAAGAAAGAGGAAGGCGGTTAAGCGCGCGCGGGTCTCGCGCAAAAATCATTAAAACGTGTGCTCGATTTGCGGCAGCGGCATCGTTGTCGGTTCATAGTCGATGATGTATTAGCGGCTACACGAGATTAGGCAACCGACACCTGGCTTCTTGTGAGTTCGTTCGCTTGCCTTTACCGGGCTTTTCAACTTTCTTCGACGTTCATCCGCAATCTCCGTCTCTGGCGCACATTGCGCAATTCCTTTGAAGAAAACGAACACCGGCAAACAGTGTCCACGCGCCGCTTCATCAGCCCAAGTCACTTTACTTTTCCATGTCTGGCAACGACACTTGGAACGAATCAGAGACGAACGACACGCGGCTTGGTATGGAATGGACTCGCGACAAAACTCTCGAGCTACTGCACGAATATCAACAAAGACGCGTCCTCTGGGACTGGAACGCTCGTGGTTATCGGGACCGAGCGAAGAGGAAACGTGCGATCCAGGAGCTCGCCGAGATTCTCTGCTGTAACACCCTCGAGATTGAGAAAAAAATAACGAATCTAAAATGCCAGTATTCGAGGGAGGTGCATAAGATACAGAACAGCCGTGACTCTGCCATTGGGCCCGACGATGTTTACGTATCCAAGTGGTTCGCCTTTAAAGCAATGCAGTTTTTACAATTTGGCACAAGGAGGTACAGCAAAAGAAAGAAGGTAGGTTGAGACAGTTGCGGGTTGTGCTCTGGCGTTGTGCGTATTCGTCGTCGCGTAAGAAACCCAGTTGTGTGACAGATGTCTTCGCTTATTTCCACGTGTCGCTAACGGATATTGATACGATTTTTCAATTTTGAGTTTTTTCCAAGTGCAACAATGGTCTGTTTTCTTGTTGTTTTCTTACCTTTCCTTTTTCGATGGTAAACGAAGTACTTGTAAATAGTTGTCATAAGACCGAAGTTTATGGCAGTTTCGAAGACAGTTAAGTGCATTCAGAAACATCAAATACATATACGGAAACGACAACCTTACCTAAACCATGCGTCGCTTACCGGGATATGTTTTGTTGACTCGTTGCAACGCGTCGTGGTCGTCCTCATAACAGTTTTCTATCCTAAGAATTTTGTAATCCTATTTTGCATCATTATTAGAGCTTTCTTTTATTTGCGCACGCATTCATGCGCCTCTTAATTTATGACAAGCTTAGTTCCATCTTTTTCCGTTCTGATCGTTTTTGCGCTCTCCATCTCATTTCTCTTGGTCTGCATGTCACCGCTCGCCTTTGTCTTCCTCTCTCGTTTGCTCTTTCTCTAGTAATTTCTTGTGTCGTTTCTCTTCAAGAAACCGATTGAATTATATCGATACATTCTCATGTGTGAGAAGTCTGTTGTTACATAACTGTTTCTACCGCTGCATAGTAAATTGCACGTATTCGTGTTTTAGCTATTAAAACGTTAATACGAAAGCAAAAGGTATTGATAATTTGTACAATTGTCAGTTTTCAAAAGTAACAAATTTGATAATCAAACATTAAATCGGTCGAAAAATGTTGTTGCCATTATTTGTTTAATGGTCAATATTACCTGCATTTGCTAAGAGCATCTTTTCTTAACACATCTGATTTATTGTTTTGAGCAAAGGAAGAAAATGTTATAATTAGATTTTTCGTTACGCAAAATTGTAAACACTATCGACGATGGATTTAACCCTTACTTATTTGTACAGGATATCTGTCACAGTCTACCGCGCATTCATGTGTTATTTATGTTATTATCGAGTTATGATTTTTGCATTATTCTTATCGATAAGTCTGAGAAAAGTTCCTAACTTTCTTATTATGTTATTTAAAAAGATTATTATTATGTTGTTTAAAAAGAATAAAGTGTTTTATTTTCTGTAGTCGATTTTTATTATATTTTATAATAAATTTTGATATTCGTTAAATTCCACGCGAGCAGTAGAGGGATTTTTTTTTTTAACTAACTAAGGGTTAAGAAAGGATTGATTTAACAGAAATTGTTTTTTCTTGTTTCTGTTCTGCGTTGTTAATTAGCGTCCTCTTCTTTATTAAACATACAGGATATAACAGAAATCACACTTATCTCATGAATGAAAAAAGATTATATAGACGTAGGTCTGGAAATTTTTCTTTTCAAAAATGTAAATAATTTTTGTTTATGGTACAGTTTGGCAAAAACACCTATTGCTGCATTTCAAGTACAATTATCATTTTTTCCCTAGTAGGACTAAACATGTACTAACGGTGTCTGCGAGAAGGAATTTATTGTTAGTATTGGAATCGATGTAAGTACATGTACGTACTTATGTACATATACAGGGTGTCTGTTTTATCTAAATACAGCGAAATATCTTTTAAGGAAGTGATGTTAGGAAAAAAATGTTTTAACAAAAGTTGTTTGGTACGAGGGGGAAAATTATGTGGTATAAATATTTTTTTTGTAACTGGTATGGTGGGGGAGATTTCAAAGTCAGTTTAATTTTTTTAAATGGAATGCTACATTTTTTTATACATAATATGATAGTGTATGTTAAGACGAGTCGACAGCGAGGAACGTATGGTGGTCCGGCTCCCGGTTTTCCGCAATTTTACGACCTTCCATGACAGGATTTCGCTGCATTGAGATAAAACAGACACCCTGCATACATTGTTTCCTTGATTCAAATTCTCTGTTGTTTTTGTTTTTTAAGAACATTTCAAGACTCTCGTCTACAGTAATTCTGCTGTGTAAATTCTGAATTGTTTCATGTAAAAAAAGAAGCAAAACATTTCGAAAATTTTTGAACCTGTTTGACTATTCATGAGACTTTATGAGAAGGAAATCATTTTCATTTTTAACAAAGTAAGTGTTTGTGTCTTGAAAAGGACAAATTGTAAGACCTATGCTTATATTCTTTTATTCTTAAGATATTTCTGCTACACTTCGTATAATACATATTCAGTCATTGTTGTTCGAACTATTTACATATATTCCTGTGAAAGTTCGTAACGTAGAGTTTCCTTAAAAGATCGAAATGTTAGATTGACGCTGAATTCTGCGAACCGACCATAGCAAGCTAACTTGTGATTCAATTGAATTTGATTCAACTTGATTGTTATTTATTGTTAAAATAACCGAGTAACGAAGCAGTAGTGCAGGCATGGGCAACTGTTGCCCGTACGGGCAAAATTTTCAGCGAGAGCGGTGATGGATCTAAGTATTTACCGCCAAAATATTTTGTCATGTACTAGAATATTTTTTAATGAAAACAGCATTTAATAAAATGTAATAAAATAATGTTTTTTAATGTATTTTAAATTGTTATAAATTTTAATGCATTTAGTGCTAACATTTTTTTAAATATTCATATAAGTTTTTATTATTATAAAGTGTTATTCTTACATTATCATTTATTATTGTTGTCTCTCACTAAAGTATCTATAATTTTCGTAATAAATACTTGAAATTTCGCCAAAATTATAAAAGTTCATTAATATTTTTAAGAAACACTAACTTTTTGGTTTTTACTACAAAGAATATATAGAATACTTAATATTAACATGCAAAGTCATGAATAAATCATCAAACATTCTCATGAAACTGAATCGTTAAGAAATTATTGTTAAAGAATGTTGTTAATTTTCTCTGATTCTAATACGGTGTTACCGCATAAATGGATTGTTATCTATAAAAGTTAGACGTATGAATAATTCCCATTCTTCTCAGAAGGGTTTTGGCTTTGAAAGTAATTTTTTTTAATGCAAAAAGTTTGTCTCGCACGTAAGTTATAAATGAATTTTTATTTTGAACTTTCCATGGGTGAAAAACGACATTTTTGAAAATGTCCAAAAAACACTATTATTTACATGTATCGAAGTTTACTGTACAGCATACCAATTTGTGACACCCTATTCATTTAGAATTTAAAGTAAAAAGGATATTTCTGCATTATAACGGCGCCACAAGATACCTGGCTCCCAGAGATTAACATGTGACTTTCGTTTTGTACATTATTTTGCCGTTTATCTTACGTTATTTCATGTATTGTTATATATGTCATACAAGGTGGTCGGTAACTGGCGGTACAACCGAAAAGGGGGTGTTCTACATAAAAAAATAAGTCGAAAATGTAGAATACAATTTTTTCGTACGAGGCTTTTCTTTCGACTTTAAATATTCGCCGGGTACACGTGCACTTAACTATGTCTCGACTTAACGTATCTCTCTGTAGCTTACTGTCTCGGTTCAGATTAGTGTTTACTATACTGTGTAATCAGGAATATGCAATAAAACAGAATATTAGCTTACGATAAATTTTATTATTACAGAAATTGTTGAAGATGTTGCCCATTCTGCCGAATACACAATTGTGCTTTACGAACTAAATTTCTATGAACGTTTTCTAATGTGTTCTGCTGTTTTAATTGATTCAACGCGAAACTAATTCTTTCCTTTAATTGGTCGAAACCTGTGATTTCTTCGGAATAGACAACTGATTTGATGTGACTCCATAAATAAAAGTCGAGTGATGTGAGATCAGGAGAGCGTGGTGGCCAAGCTATTAGTTCACCACGGCCAATCCGACCTTGATAGTTATCATTCAAAAAATCTCTCACTTGACGTCTAAAATATGCCGGTGCTCCGTCTTGTTGGAAAATAAAATTTCTTCTTATTGTGAAGGGTATATCTTTTACTAATTCGGGCAATTTATTTTGTAAAAAATCCAAATATGCTTCTGACGTTACGTTTCTCACAAAAAAATAAGGCTCAATAATTCGACGTCCGATTATTCCAGTACAAACGTTAGGTGAAGACATAGCCAACCAGCGGCCGTAGCCGTGCATGTCTACCTGTTCCCGTTCGATCACCGAAGTCAAGATGCACTGGGCGGCGTTCCGTAAGAAGATGGGTGATCGCTCCACATCCGTCTCTGGAAGCCGTGGTGCTGGTTTTATCGGGCTGAAATTTCACACAGACGTTAGTTCCATCCTTACTAACGTCTAGAAATTGAAAAAGTCCAAAAGCAAAAATCCTTACCGCCAAGTTTGGGGTTCAAGCATGGTCGAGCGTCCTCGCTCATTCTCCGGCTTGTTCTTCGGTTGGTGATTTCGATGGAAAGTAGAAACCTGGTCCGATAGGGGTTATAAGCTGTAAAGCTGAGGCACCCTGAGTCCTTCTAAGGACGACCCACACTAGTTGTAGTAGGTGAAGACATAGTCACGTCCTCGCTCATTCTCCGGCTTGTTCTTCGGTTGGTGGTTTCGATGGAAAGTAGAAACCTGGGTCTGATAGGGGTTATAAGCTGTAAAGCTGAGTGAGGCACCCTGAGTCCTTCTAAGGACGACCCACACTTGTTGTAGTAGGTGAAGACATAGTCGAGTGCACGAGTACCCGATGAATATTTGAAGTCGATTTTCTTGAAAGCAAAACCTGATAGGAAAAAATTTTATTCTACATTTTTGACTTATTTTTTTTGTGCAGAATCACCCTGTTTCCGGTTTTACCACCAGTTACCGACCACCCTGTGGTTACAATTAACCCTCTTATAACACAATACTTGGATAACACGGTGCAAAAATTTCGACCGTTCTCCTTAAACACGATATTCTTTTAAATGGTTTCCATATTGCACGGCTTCATAAACTTGGGCAACTCTCACATAGCATAAATGTTTCAAGTACATATGCAGTCCGTAGAGGGAAGTTTAAGAGGGAACTGCAAAGCTACTTAGCACCTTATCGAGAAATTCTAACAGAATTGCAAAGTAAGAATAAGAATCTAATTAATAATGAAGGTACAAGTGACGAGGAACTTCAGCTTACGGAAAGAAAAATATTTAGACGAGTAATGATTTCAGACGACAGTGATGATAAAAATTAGTAAGGTTATTTGCTTTGTAATAAGTGCTTACTGTTGTTGTAATTTGTATTTTTTAGATTTATAAAAATTCCGAATAACTGTTTATCTTATCTTAAAAAAAAACTCAAAATAAATTCTTTGGATTTGTATTATTTCCAAGTTTCGTTCAACGCTTTTCAAATACAGTAGAGCGTCAATTATCCGAACCAGTCGGGACCGAGGTGGTGCGTAAAATCGAATTGTTCGGATAATGGAACAGTTCAGTTAACGAAACATATGCATGTACTTGCTCGGTTTATAACTAGAGGAATTAAGCATAAAATCAATTATTGAAAAAAATAATGGAGAAATATCGAAATATTGAAGAAATGCTTTGAAGTAACAATATACATTTATTAAGAAAGTTTATTTTTCAAAGCACATAATCTTCAATTTTTGTTTTGTTTCGAACCATCGAAGACAGTCGTCCTTTTTTCGCAGCGAGATCTCTTATTCTTTCGAGTAACAATTTATCCGCAATACATATTGCATTCTGACTGTTGCTCGCACCGTGTCATTGCAGTTTCTAATGCAACGAAGGGCTTCCGCGTGTGTAGGCCCGTTTCCCGCTTGTTCTTGTTCCTGGTCGTCAGAATCGTCATCTTGGTTAATGTCGGCACATTCTTCATTCTGGGCTATTGCAACAATTTCTTCGTCACTTTAAATCTGATAACCAGGATTATCAGCGTCATTGTTTAGTCACGCCTCTGCATCATCTTGCCCACATTCGGAAAATCCTGGAATTTCTTGAAATAAATTTACAACTTCATATACGTCCTCATTCTGATCTTGTTCTTGTACGACCTCCTCTTCGGTAGTATTCCAAAGCTTGTGCCACGCTTTTTTGAGATTTTCACACGACAATGTGTTCCAGGCATCCTAACATATAAAAACAATCCTTTAAATTAAGTTTTTTCAAAAACTGATCTACGTTCTCTTCATATTTTTCGGATAATAGCAGGCGACGCAAGAATTGCCTTTTGTATATCCTTTTGAGTTACTCGAGTTTCTAATCGATGATTCGGATAATCGAAGCTCTACCGTAGTACAGCATTCCGAGAACACGGTTTCGATATATGTAACAGAGAACAAATCCCCCACCGATTTGCATTCGTTTTAAGTTTCCCTTAACACGCCTTCGATACAGCACGACACTCCGAGAACACGGTATCACTATAACACGAAACGCATTCCCCTAATTTCTATTAGTTTATATTAGAACGAATTAACCGTATCATAGGATGGTTGACTGTATACACATCCATCCCTCCATTTACGCGGTACTTTTTTACGCGATCTCATTTTCTATAAACTTTCATTGAATTTATTACATATCAGAGAGACGCAAATTCTTACTCGAACGTACTAATTCTAACTCTTGTTCTACGATTTAAGTTTTACGGTACAGATTCTGACACCGAATAAAACTTATTTTGCTTTTCTGAAATATCATTACATTTTTTATCAACCTATGCGATTTAAATGTTTTTCTTACCATGTTCTTTCTTTCATACAAGCAGACTCTATTTACGCGATTTTTATCCGTGTAAAAAAAAATCAACGCCGAACGGTCAATCCGCGTAAATGGAGGGATGGGTGTACTTTTTATTTTTTAACGTGGAGGACATATATATACTCTTTTGATTCTGTGACTTCTTTTTTGTACATTATTTCGCCGTGTAAACGCATACCACTATGCAGGGCAAACACGAAACGGGATCTGGCTAGATCATAGAATACAGTGGAATGCAACGCCATGGAGAACAGTAGAATGCTAATATTTTGTTTGAAATTATTTTCGTTTCGAAATTTCTCAGAAATGTGTATTCACAGTGGTGAAATTAAGGAAAAATCAGTGGCGTCGTTATAATGCAGAAGTATCTTAAAAAAAAGTTTCAACGTAATTTGTAACATGGTTTCTAAGTAGATACGCTTGTTTTCGATCCACGTTTCTATTCACGCACCCTATCGCTCCCCATTTCCTGACGGTATTGCTAAGTACATATGTACTTCCATGGGACGTGTGGTTTCTACCTATGCAGATTACCCCACCATGAAATCCATGCACGATGTGGAGGAGCTTGTTAGCGCCTGAGCTTGAGTTGCCCATGCCTCAATAAGAGGATTTGCTACCTCCGTATACCATGAATTTGGTGAAATCTGAACGAGAACGCAAATCCTATGTATTGAATTGTAAATTGTTACTTTCTTAGTTTACTAGAAACTGATAAATGCATTTTATGATTAAGTTAACGTTTATTCACAACATAACACAAATGATTCGCAGTATTACTTCACAATATATTATCGCCATTATCTCTCTCTATTTACGTAAGAAATACCGCATAACGCTTTAAGTATTAAGTAAAATTTCTAAATATTACTAAAATGAAAGTAAATGTAACTTTGATAAGTAGTAGGCGTATATGCGATTAATCGTAAAGGTGACGATTCGCAATGTAAGGAGAGTGATTCAAATAATTGGGTTAAAGTGTAACTTCACTTTAACTAGTAACTTAAAATGAATAGCTTTACTAGGTAAAATATTCCAGTATTTAGCTTAAGGGGGTCTTCTAGTGTGACGGCCGTTTTTTTAGGCCTTTCTTGCTAATTTATTACAGAAGTACGGTAACAGTTATTAACACGAGCTTTATTCCTGTGTATTTACTTGTCCTTGAAAAATCATCACAAATTTTTGTTGTTGAAAAATAATTAGATGTGGCTGCTGTGAAACACGTCAAACAGGAGCATGAAAAATAAAAGTAGGTCCATGGTTGCCATGATTTGAGCTGTTCTGCTTATCAGAAATAAAAAAGTCCAATTAATTCTTATTTAGTATGCCTGTCGCTATGATCGATAGTAGAATAAAAGAAAAATATTGAAAATTCAAAAAATGGCGGCACTTTGAATACGAAGTATCGATTTTTTCGACTTTTTTCGTCTTTCAGAGACTCACAAATCGGAAAAATATGTATTTTGGCATAATTCTACTACCGACCATAGCCAAAAACGTTCTGAAGACGTGTGCAAAATTTGAATTCGATTGGTTCGGTAGTTTTTGCCAGATCGTGGCAACCATTTCAGAAAATATGGTTTCGAGAAAAACGCGTTTAAAGTTTTCAGTGTGATTTACATTCTCCCTATCGCCGGCCTTTGATGTGTCACACTAAACGAGCTATAACTTCGTTATTTTATTGAGTACAACTATAAACCTTCAGGAGTACATTCTTAAACATTGTACTTTCGATATATGCAAAAAAATAACAATCGATTTTTTGAAACTGTCACACTAGAAGACCCCCTTAATAAGAAATGAGAAACTGTATTATCAATTTAGATATTATTAGTAGATTATTAACGGTTTGAATGCCACGGGTCTTTGTTGTTTCTCAATCAACCCCCTTAATAAGAAATGAGAAACTGTATCCAATATTACAGCCAAGTGTACGGTATTCCATTAAAATGAAACTTCATTTGTAGAAAAATTAAGCTATGCAAAAATTTCATCTACAATATTTCTGTACCCTTTATCGGTCTAGTTATTAGAACTCAATTAGTAGTTCCCATATATCCACTTTTTGCATTATTCACGCGTTTTCATACGGAACCTGCATGAACTTAAAAGCAACTGGGTTTCGCTTGAGGTTACGCGAGCGCGCCACGATGAAGCGATTGTCGCCAACGGCACTTGCGAAATATATTCTTCTCCCTGCAGAAGGTCGAGGAAGAAACATCAAAATTGCAAGGGGAGTACATTGTAAGCGATATCGATCCCGAGAGCATCACGTTCATAGATTGCAACGAGGAGACAAACGGTTCGGGGACTGGTTCGTTGAACGCCTCGCTGAGCGAAGACGCAGAAGAGTCCTCGTCGTCCAGCCTGAAGGCGATGGATCTGTACAACAGCTCGTTGCAGGATCACAGTCCCATGTGCGATCTGAACGGGTTCGAGTTCGGCCAGGCGAAACTGGATACCACCTTGAACGAACGAAGGAGAACGAAAGAAGAATTCGCGAAATTCGCAGAAAGTATTGCTGTACAGTTAGCGGAGATTCCTGATTCCTATTCGAGATCGGTGGCGAAACTGAGGATCAATCAAATCCTTTTCGAGGCGGAGATAGGCGTTTACGCGCAAACACGTCGTTAACAAGTGCAACTTTGTCGTGGAGCGTGCAAAACAGAAAGAAAATTGTGCGCTGTCCTCATTACCGCGTTATTTTATCACGCAACTTTTCTTCGAGAAACCAGTCATAGAGAAGTAACCTATTCGTATACACGCATACATATAGGCATTATACATACAAATTCGCAACGACGAGCGATCGACGATAATTCATGTTGACATTGAAGCTTATGGTAAAGCGGGAAAAAGGAACGAGCGAATAAAACATCGCGTCAGTGGGTGCAGATACGAATTGTAACGTTGTGAAAACTATCGTTTAACGGCACATCCGATTTTTACATAGGATTATAGCTGATTTTCAATTAAACGTTCGTCGGGAAACAATAATATAAGGATTATGCTTTGTTATTATCAATTTAGATATTATTAGTAGATTATTAACGGTTTGAATGCCACGGGTCTTTGTTGTTTCCCAATCAAAAAGTGCCAAGCGGCGCGATCGCGCTTCTTTCATTTGATGTCGAAAAATTACAAAAATTTTGTTCTCGACATTTTGGAAATAACACGAAACAAAGGCAAAATTGATTATGTGCAGATTATAAAAAAATAGAATAAAATTTACACTTCGTGGCCCGATGCGGTGACACTTTTCGATGTCGAATATGAGGAGCGCGACCGCGCTCCTTGGCACTCAAACGGTTAAGTAGTAGAGATATGATCGAAAGCGTTGCTTTTGGTCGCTGCTTACCGTTACACTCTCCTTCCATTTTGTATTATGCATCGGTTATCAGGTGTGCAATTCAAGTTGTGCAAGAGATTTAAAATCGATGGTTGAAAGTAGCGCTGAGAATGAAGTATTTGAGATGTTGAAGAAAGCACGTTGGAGTGTTTATTAAAATGAACTTTTACTCTTCCTTCAAATGAGATAGTTCAATGACAAGATTTTATAATAAAACACGAAAGTTATGCCAGTTATACTAGTTCATTATATGACGACAATTTATCGGTTAAATTCGCAAATCCTTGTACAATTAGCGAAAGTAACGTTTTGTTATATCCCTCATTATGATGTAAGATTTGCAAGAGAGAAACCCTACTGTGACGGTTGAAAAATTAGGCGATTCTTCGGAATATTTTAAAGGAAATCTGACGACAATTTATCGGTTAAATTCGCAAATCCTTGTACAATTAGCGAAAGTAACGTTTTGTTATAACCCTCATTATGATGTAAGATTTGCAAGAGAGAAATCCTACTGTGACGGTTGAAAAATTAGGCGATTCTTCGGAATTTTTTAAAGGAAATCTGTGAGATGGGTTAATTTGTAACTTTATAGACTTATTGAAGTACATTTTTTTCGTATTAAAATGTTCATTTATTTAAGAGTGATAACGATTCTATCGAAGCGCCAAAAGAATTTCACGGTTGCCATAAAGTTAACTATTTTAGTGATCCGAAACTAAAGAAACCAAAGAGATTTTAATCTTTATGAGTGTTGTTGCAGCTCGAACTAGGGTAATTGAAAAATAATAAACAATAAGAAAACGACCGCGACGTAAAAGAAAAGTTTCGTTTTCTGCCTACGGCTGGTTCTGTAACTCGCAAAATTCGAATTTTGCATTAATCGAAAAAATCCTAGTTCGAGCGAGAGACACACCTACTGAACATTTCTGCCAAGTTTAAAGTAAATCGGTCAATCTATTTTTGAGATATCGTGGCAACCAATTTGAAAGAAGTCGTTTCGAGAAAAACGCGTTTAAAGTTTTGGGTATTGAAAAATAAGAATTTTCAGAAACTTACAGCTGCATTTTTGCTAGTCTACTATTCCAGACCCATACAGCAAACTTTGTGCTTCTTCGAAAAATTGTTGTTGCCCAAGCCTCCTTAGTGCTATTTAGGCTGCGGCGTTCCTGCCTTTTCAGTCGCTCGTAAGTGTCGGTGAAAAGTTTGTATTGCTGTCCTGTATTGAATTTCAATTCCACCATTTCATCAGCGGAGTTAACATTTCTCCTTATTGGTAAGTCGTAATAATTTGTCAGTTTTTTTGTAAGAACATGCATATATTAACACTATACGATCCGGGCTGGTTGCGCGGAAACTGATGCGTGCAGCCAGCACATTTTAAGGTTGTCCACTGTTACATCGCTTTATAAAAATGCTTATAACTTTTAAAATATCAAATATTTTTTTATGAAATTTCAAGTATCTTTATATGATATATGTATATGTTTAGTCTAGTCGATAAGAAGTATCACCTTTAGCATGCACATACATTTGTATATTGTAACACATAATTATAGGCCGCCGGCATTTAATGCATAGTGTGTAAAACCCTATTTATCTGTCTCTGGCATTTCACGAGCAGTCAACAAAAACCATATTTTTACGTCTGCGGACGGTAATGCGTCAATTTACCTTATCCTCCAAGTTTTTCTTTTATATTCCAAAGCCGCGTACCCATTCGTTTTTCAACGTGACCAACACCATTCACTTTTCAGTAATTGAAAATCGTCGCTACAAGGATCCAAATGTAAAAATGTTTTATACGTTTTTGAGTCTCCGTCGCCGAGATAATTGGCGTATGCGTGACGCGTAGCTATAAAATCGGTTGTAGCTTGTTTAATACTTCGAATTTCAATTTACAACTTCACGGACATATTTTCGAGATGTATTATTTCTACTATTGATTTATGCAAATAAATAATCCACCTTTTTTGGACCGTCATAGTAGAGACTCCCCTTAAAACGCTATTCATATTTAATATTATTTTTCTTTTACAAGAATTAAGTCTCGACTGTTTCTTCTGAGGAATAATTGTTCAGTGTCCCGGGAATAAAAATCAAAGTAAATTCCATGAAAGGAGAAGAAACTAATCTATACACTGTTGACAGTAATATGTGCTAAAGGTGATAGGATTATCTAAAATCAAACAATGCGAAAGAAATTCTGTGCGACAGGGGAACTTGCTTTGGTTGTATTGACTTGTGGATTTTAGCGAAAGTTTGTACATATGTAGATTTCGTATTATCGATACAGAACATATATGATTATAGACATAGACGATTTATAACTTTTTTAAAAATATTTCTTTATAAATGTGCACAAGTATGGAAGCACATGTAGTGCAGCGCTATCGTAGTGTAGTCGACAAGGCTTTGACTCTGGACTAGAACTTTCTTTTTTATACAGAGTATCCCGTAACTCCTCGAAAACCCGGAAATGGGGGGTTGCTGGGGTGATTTGAAACAACTTTTTCCTTTACCAAAATGTTGGTTGAAGCTTCGTTTTTGAATTATTAACGAAAAACACTGGCCAATCAGAGTGCGCGTAGAGCCCGCGTCCAGGCACGGGAGCGCAGGGACTCATCCGCGCGCGATCGTGAACAAACGCGTACGCGTGACTTCTGGGTTATCGGTCTCTGTCACAAAAATTTCACTTTGTGCCGGAATGACGGCAACAAACTATTTCTCTAAGCCTTATAAACATAGCGGTGCAAAGTCACATTTTTTTGACAGCGATCGATAACCGAGAAGTCGCGCGTACTCGTTTGTTCACGATCGCGCGCGGGTGAGTCGGCGCTGTGATTGGCCAGTGTTTTTCGTTAATAATTCAAAAACGAAGCTTCAACCAACATTTTGGTAAAGAAAAAAGTTGTTCAGAGTCACCTCAGCAACCCCCCATTTCCGGGTGTTCGAGAAGTTACGGGACACCCTGTATAAGACGGTTTGAATTCCGCTTTTTAGTACTTTGGCACATTCTAATATTATATTTAGACATTTTATCGATACACTGTTCCCCCAATTATACACAAAATATTTTTATTTGCTTCTGCCATGCGTAAGACAACTTTTAGGGTAGTATTACGTAAAAAACAGTTGAAATGTACGTAACACCATAAACACCATTTGATTTTTCAAATTTCAGCTGACGATGACTACGCAGGCGGCGGCGCCTGGGTCTATTCTGACCCTAACGTACTTCCGCATACATATACGAGCCATTCCATGTCAAATCGCACAGAATTGCGGTCGTAGTTACCAATTTTTTTCAAACTCGCAGAATTTGTTGCTAACCCTGAGAAACTAAGCTGTGTAAATTTGAGCTTTCTATTTCAAACGGTTTTCGAGATATTTAATGATAAGTTTTGAAAAATTAGACGAAATCAGCCGACATGTCATCACTTTAACCGTAATATATCGGCTTTGTTTAAATATAATGCTTCAACCTTGGGCTCGTTTTAGAGCTAAAGAAATACTCTTTCCGCGTATGTATGTAGGATTTTATTCATTACCAGCAAACTTAACAATAAGCGCTGCTAAAGTTTCAACTGCTGATTTGACGCTGTTTCCATCCATAGAACAGTTTGGAAAAAATACCGTTGGATTGCTTGAACTTTGACCTGTAAAATAAGCTTTTCAAAATGATGGAGGGATTTCGGTAACATTGAAAAAAGAAATAAAGTTTACTATGAACAGGCGAACAGGAACCGTGTATGCACACCGCATATGTACATACAATGTATCACTTTTCTAAGCATGCATCCCGCTGTTTGTATCTTTATTGCTTATCGCAACGTGCGGAATAGTGAATATTGTCCCGGAAAATAATACACTATCGCTCATGGATCTGTACCCACGGTCTAAAACAAAAATAAAACTTGCAGCTTGCATACTGCTGCTTATAAGTAATGCAAGTTCGCTCCAACTTTGTCGTTAATTTACTAACATTACCTGCGTTGCTCCGCATTTTAAAAACTCACATTTTATAGAGAAAGGACCAAGGAATCGAGAGGTAATTTTGTATTAGCGGTACTTCGTCGGAAACAGTTAGTAAAATAACGACAAATTTGGAGCGAACTCGTAATACTTATAGGCAGCGATGTGCAACTTGTAAGTTTTATTCCCTTTTTTTTTTGGCGATCTTATTTGCGTTGCTCCACATTTCTGAAACTCACATTCTGTGGACGAAGGGTCAAGGAAGATGCAGGTAGTTTTACATTGGTGGTACCTCGTCGGGAATAATTAG